GCATAAACTGTGAAAGAGAACAGCTTAATAATATATTGTTTTCAATAGCAAAAAGAGCTTGTGTCAATATGTATGCAAAGCCCTCCAATTATTATGCTGCATTGCTAAAAGCTATAAAACAGTAACATCAAGAATCACATAATCCCTGGATTTCAATGTCCTCTTCCTATATTGTCCACTGAAGTCAGAAAGCTGAAAGTTCTGCTTCCTATCTTAAAACTAGGATAGCTGAAATCTTTCCACCTTAAATTATAAACTGTAGACTTCCCTTTCCTGCTTAGAGGAAGTGACTGGGAAGTGTCCGTCTTCTGTGGTTACTTATTTCCCTTCACTTTTGTGGATACTGACATTCATACAAAAAGTCGTCCTTGTTGTGAGAGGGACATTTCATACTTGGCAAAGTCCTACTTGTTTTCAAGTGAAATATGATCAGGCTAGATATGGAAATGATAGCCAATGAACAAAGGTGAGGAGAAACACAGTGTAAGAGAAAAAGTCCCATGCAACACATCTGAAGAATCCTGAAGCAGGGTTCATCTGGCAGTCTGGGTTTCTCCCAAAGAATCTTGGGAATTAGTCTTGTGGAGCTCCTGACACTATATCTTCCACTGAATGGGAAACATGACAGGATAGAACTGCCCTGGTTTAAGAAGTATAGTACAAAATCCTTATATGACACTCCCATTCTGATGTGGTAATTTTTTGCATTAACATTGTGGGTCTGTGATTGCATGAGGCAAAATGAAAAACAGAATCTTCCATTTCATTTCACTCACATTTCACTATCTATATCCTGCCTTTCTTCTGTCTTGGAATTCAAGATGACATATATGGCATTTCCAGGCATTTTCCACCCAGATACTTGCTAGACTCTCTACACCAGGGGTTGTCAACCTGGTCCCTACCGCCCAACAGTGGGCATTTCAGGATTCTAGGTGGGCGGTAGGGGGTTCTACAGCACAAGCGGAATCCTCCTTCCATTGAGCACTGGTGGGAGGTAAGGAAATTTTACCATCGAGAAAGATGCATTAGTGGGCAGAAGGTATAAAAAGGTTGACTACCCCTGCTCTACACTGACCTAACCTGCTTACCATCAGCCCTCAGACCATTCCGTGGGTTAGAAATCAAGCTAACGTTCTAATTTTATCCATGGCCTAACCGTTGAAGGTATCGACTTAGGATGTTGTCAACTTCCTGAAGTCAATAGCAAGTGCATTAAAACAATGCATAGCATAGAGAAAGCGGATATAGACAGGGACAGCGCGTCCAGTTTTGCCACCTGAGGTGAAACAGAAATTGCTATCTCCTGTCTCACAGCCCACCACAATCCCACCCAACTACTGCCACTTCTGCACCCCGCACCCCACCTCTGCCACCACTAGAACACCCTGGCTTTCATGGAACTTGATGATAGCTTGGGCATTGCACAAAGCATTGCCACTCGACTTCTCCTCTCAGGCGCAGGGAAGCCAAGCAACAACGTGGGATGCAGGAACACCCTAGCTCTCGCCAAACCCAGCAGGAGTCAGGGCTTTTGCATGCCATTGCTGCTCATCTGCTCCACCTCAGGGGTGAGAAAGACAAGTTCCATGTGACAGAATGCCTCCCTCTCACCAGTGAGAGGGAGGTATTCTGGCATCAACGGCAACAGTTGGGCAAGCAGAGCACTGCCTCTTGCGCTTTCACCACCTGAAGTGAGAGCTTTAGCTTGCTTCATAAGCCGGTCAGTTCTGGATATACAGATGTTTTTCTCCTCTCTACAATACTAGAATTCAGGGCCATCCAATGACACTGAATGAAGAAGAGTCAGGACAGTCGGGCAACAGAGAGTACTTCTTCACACGGCACATAGTTTAACTATGGAATTCACTTCCAGAAGAGGCAGTGGTGGTCACCAACTTGGATGGCTTTAAAAGAAGATTAGAAAAATTCATGGCGGATGAGGCTATCAATGGCTAAGATGGCCATGTTCAAACTTCATAGAGGCAGCATGCCTCTGAAAGGCAGTTGCTGGGAATCACAGGTGGGGAGAGTGCTGTTGCTTGTGGGTTCCCCATGGGCATCTGCTTGGCCACTGTGAAAACATGTGGACCTTTGCCTTGATCCAGTAGGCTCTGAGGTTCTCAGAGCCACTCCCCCTTTGATCCTAGGTGTGAAATATTACAATCACACCTTGTAGCCATTACAGCCTTATCCTCCACAAATTCCTCAAATTCTTTTCCAAAGTTGTCTAAGTTTACATTTACATTTGATTGGTAGTGAATTTCACAACACATGGTAGTGAATTTCACAACAAAATAGAACTTCTCTGCCAACACATTTTCAGTAACCTCAGTGAAGAAGAGCTGACACAGTAATCTATGTACGGTAGTTTGTGGGATTTCCCCAGTTTACAGAGGGCTATAAACAGGGGGGTTCTAATCACCACCTCAGTCCAGACACCTACCTTGAGGGATGATCCCAACCAACAAGTGGCGCAGCAGTTCCTAGCTAGCCTTCACCAACCAAGATGGAAGATGGACCTTTCACAACTCTGAGCAATGTAAGATTTAATTTGTATCCAGAATTAAATCACCAGTGAATACTTCTGCCATTGGGACTCTTCAGCTAATGCATCTGAATGACCCTTAGTTCAGCCTATTAACACCTCTGCCAATGTGGCAGGACAATTTCCTGCCTGCCCATTTTGTACAGGACAGGAATAGGGCTTTAGATGACAGCCACTAATGACCTGCAACCAGGAGGTATTAGCACTTCAGACCATAACCAACAAGGAGGACAATTATAGCCATTCTGATTAAAATAATTAGAGTCAGTCTATTTCATGAGAAAATGAAAATCACTCTGTGTTGCTTCCTAGATGTTTGGGAAAGAAGCAATTCTTCCTGGTTAGAAATTGGCACATTTCAATTTGAAAAATAAACCAAGCAAATGTAAATGATGATCTCCTATCAAAATACTTTAAATATTTTTCTCACCAAAGTTTTTGCGTGGGCTATAATATGTTAAATCCCAGATCTCACAAAGAGCAGGTGCTCACTTATAACAGTTACCAAGGCTGCTGTCTTAGCCCTACTGATCTGGCAGCAAGCTTCACTGAATTCAGTAGGACTGACTTCCGAGTAGACATGGTTAGGATTGTGTTTTAAGTGCTATACAGTGATTACAGAAGTTAGTCCCCTGCTCACAGTCTCACAATTTAATAAACACAATACAGAATTGGAAAGGAATGAGGAGGGTAGAGGTGAGCATGCAAATTCAGGTACCTTTTTTTGAAAATTACATAATCTCCACAGTGTCATCTGATCCAGGCAGCCAGCAGCACAACCAAGAAGTCCTTTGTCCTCTGGGCTATAGTTTAAGCTAGTTCCTTTAAGTCCTGCAGCTCTGGAACATGTAAATATCACTGCTTCAAGCTCTCTCACTCTCCAATTTCTGGGAGACCATTCTCCTAACATTTCGTTCTACCCTCACATAGCCCAATCCCATGACATTTACCTCTTGAGTTTGCCTTGTTGCATTTAGGCCCCCATTACAGCTTACAGGATCTCTGGCACCTGCACCTCTCCTTATATGACAGCTACAGACCACTGCACTCCTCCATCAACAGAATTAGTCAAAGGAGTTCTTGGTTCAGGCCAGGCCTTATCTGTGTAGCCTGTATACATGTAGAGCCCTATTGCCTTTGCATGCCAAGTAACAGATTTGTTTTCTATTAAGTACAAGCTGCTGATTCTCTTGATGATTTCTCACTCTTCTGAGTGAAAAAGGTAACAGCCTCATGGTGTGTTGTGACTCCAGGAGCTTTTTTAAAAAAGAAAACATGCTTCAGTGTGTGTTTGCATTTCACTTATGATCAGGAACACCTGTGCTGAGTTAAGCATGGACCTCTCCTTCAGGATTAGCATGGACTGAAGTAGCCAATGCATTGTGGGGTTTGAGAGCCAGACATACACTGGATGGCAACTTCACACGTGCCCTTCAGAATGATGGTTGCTGCTACTCTTATTGCAGATAGAGCAACAAGGGAGCACCTTTTCAATCACTGCATCTCCAGGTCAAGAAAATCTTAATTGCCTAAAGCTTTGACTGTCATGCACCTGCCTTTAAAGGCACATAGCCACAGTCAGGAACAAAACTGGAAACCTTAATAACTGTTGAAGAAACTAATAGCTGAGCTATGGATCATTCAGATGCTTTTAGCTGAAGAAATTGAGTTATATTCAAGCGAAATTATTAGCTAACATCACCATCACATTTATGTTCCATAAGGTGGCTGGCATACATGGCCCCCTCATTTTTTATCACCTCAATCTATAAGTAGGTGAGACTGAGACTGATGGGCCCAAGGTCAGTCAGTGAGTTTCAGAGCTGAGTGGGGCTTTGAAACTGGGTCTCACCAGTCCTCTCTCAAATCCAGGGATGGGAAACCTCTAGTCTAGTCCTCCAGATGTTGCTGGATCACAACTCCCATTGTTCCGGACCACTAGCTATGCTGGCTGCAGCTGATAGAAGCTGGAGTCACTGTTTCCCCATGACTGCTCTAACCACTACACCACACATAATTGGGGCAAATCTTTACAGGGCCGGCATCCCTGCTCACCAAAACACGCTGCCTTCAACTGATGTGTGAATAAGTACACATTAGACAGGTATAACACCCCCCTCTCCATACTAGGGGGAAGCTGCTCCTGATGAATTCTTGCCTGCCATGCCCCTCTTTAGCTGCCAGATCTCTAAATATGTTTACCAGAACCTGAGAGTTCAGTGGAGCTTACTTCCAAGTAAACATGCTTTGAAAATTGCAGCCTGAAAGGCCCAGAGCCTCTGCCAGGGTGGACCCTTTTCTCCCAGGGGACTTAATCACAGCAGCCTCCCCTAAGAGCCTTCCAGCACGAGACTCTTCCATGGGGAGCGGCACGTTTACTCGATAGAGTCTCCAGCGCTGGCTGCCTGCTCGCTGCTGTCAACAGAACCTGGAGCCCCACCTGGCACCTTACCTGGCGGGATGCTGATTGCAGCATCCGCAGCAGCATCCTTGGAGGAGGCGCGCTCCTACCCCCTTGCCCTGGCCGCAGCATCTCTCCCCGGCTCGAGCTGGCGAACGACCCCCTCCTTGTGACATCACAATCCGGGCCGCGCCGGCTGTTCCACTCCGACCCCGGGGCGGGGGGCGGAGCGGGCGGGCGAGTGACTCATGGATTCCGAGCGGGGCCGGCTCCTCCCCGGCCAGCCCCTTCCCAGCCCCTCCACATGGGCTCCCTCGCCGGCCTCCTCCAGTCGCGGAGGGGGTGGAGTTGCTGGCGCAGGCTGCGCTCGCCTTCCTTCCGCTTTCCCAACTCGCCCGCCGCCGCCGCCGCCGCCGCGCACCTGAAGAGAGCCGCGCTGTGGCCGGGCTGCCTCCGGGGCATGGAGGAAGGAGTGGACGAGGACGAGCAGCAGAAGCAGCAACCGCCGCCGCCGCCACCACCGCCGCGCGTCTCCACCAGCTACCGGGCCATCCAGCGTGTCGGCATTGCGGTGGATGAGACCAACGTCCTGCCGGGGGCTCTGCAGCTGATCCGAAAGCTGAGACCACAATGGGAGACCGAGCGAGTTAAGACCAAGGTACCGAACGCCAGAAGAGCACGGAGTTTTCTGGCCAAAGAAAGAAAGAAAGAAAGAAACCCAAACACTCTCTCTCCTCGGGGTAGCTGGGGGTGTGACGCTTGGGTTTGGAGGGGCGTCTGGGGCGGGAGGCTTGGCACAAAGGGCACTTCAGCCCCCAGCCTGAATTTGGAACATTCAACAGGTCGAGGCTGGTTTGGGGATGCGAACCATTCGGTAGTAGGATGCAGCCGGCATTGTTCTCCCTTATGGGTAACAAGATCATTTGATGGAGGTTAGCCCTTGCCAGAACCACCCCAATGCTGCCTTATTATAGTCACCTCACCCTTTCCGTGCATGGTTCTGGGTCAAGCAAGAATTAGAATCCTTGTCAATAGTTGGGAGTACGAAAGGAGGCGCACATGGATCCCAAGGCTGCAGTCTTGAATCTGTCATTCTGCCCTTCCTGATTTCTAAACACAAGGTGGAACTTCCCTTACCCCTCAAAAAATGCTCTGAGTTGAATTGGTCCCCAGGTGACACGCCCTGTACTCAGAGCATCCCCTTGAAGACCACTTAGTGAGAGGCTCATGCAGGAGGCAGTGGGTGATCCAGTGCTTGGAGCAGAGGGATCTGGCAGTCGCTGTCTGTGTCTGCCCAGGCCAAGGAAATTCTGACTCAGTTTTCACATCTGTAATTCAGAAATGGAATGAACTGCCCTGTTTCCCAGTTGTGGGGCATGACTCCATAGGTGGAAAAGACAATCCTATAGAGCCCCAGGGCATGGCTAGGTATAAACATTTAGGAAACTTCCCTTTGCATTACAATATAGGCTGAGATGAACTCAAATGGGATTCCTGCAAGAAGCATTTCCTGTCCTTCCAAATGAAACAAGATTCCAAGGAGCTGCCTGGCCCTTTTACAGCTTTGAGATTCCCCCCAACAGGAGAGTCTGTAGAGAATAAAATTCCTGAAGGAATTCCACTGGAGTTCACGCCAGCCTATATTGTAATGCAAACATTTAGCTTCCAAAAATATTCATAGGTAGCCATGCACTGGTTTTGTATTTTTTTCCAGGTGGAAAAAATATTTACCCTACCTGTTTATGCTCTGTTGGTTCTCAGGGGAACATACAGTCCCTGGCTCAAAGAATATAATGGTGCATGCTTCCTCCATGTCCACAAGTGCAACTTTGTTCAGGTGAACCTAGTGACTCCCATCACTTTCCCTGAATAAAATTGGGATGCTGGGCAATCTGCTCTGGTGAAAATGGGAAAGCTGTGTTCATTTCATTTGACACACCTTCTGAAGAGGCAGGGCAATACCTCACTAACATCATGCTCTGGTGTGCTTTCATGAGGGCTTTGATCATCCCCCAATCTCTTAGGCAAGGAGTTTACGTACTTCAAAGTGTGTTTTCACCTGTCTTTTCAAAAGAACAGGAGTTTATTCCCATATTCCTGAATGTCATGGTTGTACCCCCGCTTCAATGAGGCACAGAGAAACTCTGTTCCTCTTTGCTTTGCCTTTCTGCTGAGAAGAAAATTAGCAGCTATTCAGTATTCCCTTGTGTAGCGTAAGGGAGGATCTTTGTGCCAAACTGTTTCTGCCCAAGGGTGAGGCAGAAGAGTGAGAGCCAGTGTCATGTAGTATTGTGTTTCCAGGACCTGGGGGACCAAACTTCAAATCCCCACTTAGCCCTAAAGCTCACTGGGTTATCTTGTGCTACTCACTGTCTCTCAAGCTTAACCAACCTTACAGGGTTGTTGTGAGGCTGCGCTCCTTGGAGGAAAGGTGGGATATAAAGGCAATAAATAAAATAAGCAATATTCAGCACTTTGCTTTCTATCTTTCAAGTAGTGGCAGGCAAACACACTTTGGAGTTGTGGCTAGCCAATTGAGGCATTTCCCAGCTCAGTTCCAGAAATGTAAAAACTCCCCCCCCACACACACACACGCTCCCTGAGTCCCTGAGTTCTGCCCCGCTAGCCCTTCCCTTTCAATCTACCTGGTGGCAATGGTCATAAGCTGCAAGTCTGAGAGGCCTCCATTTCCCAATATACTTGGGACATGGGCTGTTGTTGTTACTGCATTCACAATGCCATGGGGCTGGGAGTGACACACCCTTTGTATATTGTAATCTGAGCTGAAGAAGAATTGTGTGTGTTTATGTGAATCATGCCCACTTTGCAAATGACATGAGCATTTGTATCTGAACAGTTTCATATCCTGGACCAGGTCATTGCAGACTTCCAGGATGTCCCTGCTAACTTTCATGCATCTGACTGGAAAGAGATCTTAACTGTCACTCTGGCTTCCTGCCCCAATATAATATCCAAAAGAAATTGGGTCATGTGTTTTTTGGTCTTCCGCCTTTTTGACATAATTTTGCCAGCGGTTTCATGCCAGATTCTGACATGCAGTTGCTCTTCATTGCAGCCCCCACTGCCCCACCCATTCTAAGACTATGGTTTGCATATGTGCAGGCATCGTGGCTCAGTGTCAAGCGAGCTTTCCTCCTTTACTTTCCCCCTTCATTTTCCCCCTCCAACACACCTTTGCTTAATATCCAGCCTAATCGAAGAGTTCTGACTGGCTCAGAAGCTAACATGTTATTTTGTTGACACATTTTGTGTCTCAAAAAAGAGATGTTTGAATTTTTCTCCCCCAAAGTGGCAGTTTAACCCTTTGCCATGCATGCTAACCTTTTTCTTTGCTGAGGGCTTGTTTGGTGGCTTTCTGTTTGAGAAAAGCTTATATATTTGACATACAGAGGATTGGCAAATAGCACTCCAGGAGGCGACATCATCATCCACTCTGTGTAATGAGCGCTGGGGTTTCATCCCTGCTTTGCTACACCACTGTTGAGGGAGCTGATTAGAGAACCAGTGTAGTATAGTGGTTAGGAAGCCCACGGTTCAAATCTCCACCCGACCATGAAATCCACTGGGGTAACCTTGAACCAGTCCCTGTCTCTCAACTTAGCCTACCTCTCAAGGTTGTTGTGAGGGAGGAAATGGAGCTAGTAGGAGCTGTGGCTGCTTCCTTCTGCTCCTTGGAGGAGAAGCGGGGTATAAATAAAGGAAGGAAATAAATACCAATTAAAAGAAAGTTCACTAAGATGCAAATGGGTGCAGACATCCAGATTTACTATTACTGCCTCTGAGGCTCTGCAGGGCAGCAGAGGAAGCACTGCAGCTGCAGCCCCAGCCACTTATGGCATCAGAAGGGGGATGCAGGCAGATTGAGCCTGATCCCTGTGCCAGCTCCAGGCTGGCACAGTAATCAGGCCCTGTGGTGGTTGGTGCAGGCTGTGAGAGCTTGGGATCAAACCAATCTTAGTTTGGCTAAACTAAACTAAACACCCTGTCCATTTGGGGGCCTTCTGCTAGTCTCCACTGGTAGGAATACCACTGACATGCTTTCTGCCCCCCTGCCCATTTGGCAGGTTGGCATCACTCTGTCAGCAGTAGCTGGAGAGAGGCCAGCTGAGCAGGCAGAAGCAGGGAGAGGGATGTTTCCTCTCAGTCCAGACCCCCAAAACAGTATAAGGGACAACAGTTGCATTGCCACCTAATATTCAGCCCCGTGTTTGTGAAAGAGTGCAATGAGCACCAATTCCATCCATAAAGGGCTCAAAGGCAATCTGTGCAGGCCATTCCCTTCTCTGTGCACCCCTCAAAAAGGATAAGGTAACCTCAAATGTGTATTTGGAGAGTTCCCACAAATGGAAAGGATAACGTGGGTTTGAAAGGAAGAGAGACGGATCTGTTATATTTGTTTGCATGCCCAATTTGGCCGGGTGCCTTCAGCAAGCAGATTCCCAGGAAGTGTGGGGAGTCAGTGACAGAAGGATCATTACAAATTTATAAATTGTCAAGTGTAATCAAACAGAAAAAGCTGTGTGAAAATGAATGGTAAAGGTCATCTGCAAACAGTCGGGAAAGAATGAGGCTTCAAATGAGGCTGCAAGCTCTCTGGGGCAGAGATTCTGTTTGTATGTTATAGGGTTGCTCAGTTTATAGGGGAAGGGGCATAGGAGCCCAACCCCCTTACCTTATGTGACAGTCCTCTTAGGGACTGTTTTGGAAAGCTACAAGGGAGCCTTACTTTGACTGAAATTAGCAAATGGAGCTTGAGGATATTTCCTGTATTTTCCTCCATAATTTGAGCTTTGTGCTTGACATACCTGTATACATAGAACACCCAGATCCTGACATCCAAAGCAGTGCTAGGCAACTTGTTCCCTTAGCACAGGGATTTATGTTTACACAATGGAACTTTCTCCCCTTTTGATGTCCCCTAAATCTGTTCTGGGGTTGCTCCCGAACCCTCTGAGGCAGATTTGGGGAGGGCAGGAGACACATGTAGGGGGAGGAGAGGGGAAGTTCCATTGCACAAGTGTAAATCTTGGTGCTGATGGAAAGAGTGCATTGGATGTTACCCATGATCTCGCCTCGTCACACCCAGGATATGTTGAAGAGACTGGAGGAGTGCCTCTGCTGCAAGCTGCTGCA